TATTAGTCTATTAGCATATAAAGGTTATTTTCAATAAAAAGTAACAAATAGGATTGTTTTGGTCTCTGGATCTCCTGCTTCTTTTCCGTTGTACTAAAAAAACCAAAAAAAAAAACCCCCAAAACAACAAAAAAAACAAGCCAACCAACCAACACCACCCCACCCCCACCCCCCCCAAAAAAAACAACACCAAACCACCAACTCTTTAAAATTAGGTTAGAAATTGAATCTGACAAATCTTCAGGCATGTGATAGTGTTTAATGCCAATAAAGATTTCTTTCAATTAGAAATTCCAGTTCTTAGTAACTGCAGAAATGCTCTTTGCGTTTGTAAAAGAAGAAAATGTTTCTTTTCTTTAAAGTTGTTCTTGTCAATATGTAAATAATTTGTACGTGACTGTAAAGCTTGGGAATGGGTGGGGAGAGGCAGCTTGATTCTCTTCGCAATGCATAGCACTTTGAAAGTGCTTTTTGGTGGAGGTGGGGGGGTGGTGTGGCTTAGAACAGTCACTCTTCTTGATACCAGAATTGACATACATTTGCTAACAAATATTTAGCATATTCTGGGTGTTTTAGCTTTGTTTTTCTAATGCCTGTTACCATAGACCTACATTTATGGTACAGTCTAAGTTGATTTCCTTATTTTATACAACATTTGTCCAATTTAACAAGGATTTGCTTCACCTAGTCATGAGTGAACAGTACCAGATAGCGTCAGATAGCTAGATATTGGATTTGAGAATTTATTCCATGAAGTAAAATGTCTTAGGTTCCTTGATTGTCCTAGAGATGTAGATTTTAATTCCAAAACTGTTTACTCATTTTGTTCTATGCACACAGTACAGAGCTGTGATTGTAGTTCATGAGTAGGTAGAATTTAAGTTTAGTTTGGTAGTACTGTACTAAATATAATGGCTGACGTACAGGTTTCATTGATTTGATATAATTTGCTAATATTTTTTAAAAATGTTGAGGTTGACAGTAGTGCTTTATCAAGATGTGGCTCAGGTCATGTAAAATAAAAGATATTGAATGGAAGGATTGGGGCAGTTGTCATGTAATGTAGCTACTATGGAAAAAAATCTGTTTAGTGCAGATAATATAGTGTTGTGTCAGAGTTCTTGTTACGTTCTTTAGACCTTTTCTGTGCTGCTATTCAAAACAGAGGGAAAGATCTTTACCTGTGGAGAATGTCCTGTTTCCATACTTAAATTGATAATGAGAAATACATAGTGTTAATAGTAAGTTACCCTGGTGCACATGCTGCAGATATGGAACAAAATGAAGACCTATATTCCTTCCTGTAGTACTAGGATTTATTTAAACATTTCATTCGTGTAAGCAGGGGTTTGCCTGCTTTGTATTCCATAAATAGATGAGCATGATTTGGAAGTTGTGGAAAAGAACTGATCTGTTGTGATGTGTTTTGCATGGTTTCTTACTACATAGCATTCAAAAACTCAGGATATGGAGCAGGTACGATACACGTAAGGGCTGTGGTTTGAGGGAGGTTGAAGAGAAAGGTTTTGATGGAAGGTGTGGGAGAAATGGATATGTAGGTCAGCAAGCACAGAGCTGAGTGGGAGGGGACAAAGAGTTTGCCTTATTAAACCAACCTTATGATTAGTATGATTTTAATGTAATCAGCTTGCTTACTTTGAGACTTTTTTCTTCTGTGGCTCTTTGCTCTAAGACGACTACTGGTTGGAGTTTAGTTGGTAAAGTAAGGAACATGCTGACTTCTCTCCAGTGATCCTCAGCTAGGGAAGAGTTGGAAGCTGCTGCCTAAAATTGCTATCCATGTTAACAAGTCCATGTGAACAGTAACTATACTTTGCATGGTATGCTTAAGCAGTTTTGAGTAATCGATAATGCTGTCCTTGTGCTCAAAATTGGAGGTGCTTTTAAAATTGCTTCTTCCATAGTCCATTTATCTATCTGATATTCAGATAGGTTTGGAAAAGCTGGTGGATGTTGTTTCAGTGTGTTCCTACAGTTAACTGCAAAAATGGTTCTGTAATGTAGTGAAACAATGTTTTTCCTTTTGTTTCTTAACTCTGCACTCAAATAGCATATAAAACAAAGGCCATAAAATATGTACCTTAGGTAGACATTTTATAAGTTCATTGTATTACATGTATTTTTATAGGAGTTAAATGGAAATAAACGAATGTGTAATCATGGGTGCAGTGATATTTTCCCAGTTTCCACTGTTCCCAGAACTGCGTTGAGTAAATATAACAAATCAGACATAGAGGGGAGGAGTAGCACATGCTGGTACTGTAATTTAAACACATAGTCTGTGAAACATTACTGTGCAGTGTTTTTACATCTGTATTATCTTTATCTGCTTTCATTGCTTTGTAAAATTGACCAGCAGAAAGATGAAAAAAGTCGCCATTATGAAGGTTTATGTATAGTACAGCATATATAGGGCAGTCTTTACTGTGTTGTGCCCTGTTTTATAAATAAATAGGCTAAAGGGGAAATAAAGAAGTCTTGCTGCATGTGGCATGTTTCTCAGCGGAGCTGAATATTGGAAAACATATGCAACCAAAGATGCAGTGTGCTTCATAGTACCTCTATTAAATGAGCTGTATTGTGGAAACGAACATGGCACTGACACCATTTTAATTAACACTGTAGTAATAGGGGGTTTCCTGTACACAAGGGAAAACTGGCAGTAGTTGCCACATGCAGACAAAGTAGAGCTTTGTTTAGTCTTATATTTTTGTACAAGTAACATTCCTGCCTGTTTTTTGACCCTGTTACAGTGTGTCCGTAACTCTTTGACCTGGAATTGTTTGTGTGCATGTTTAGAGAGGGTAAAATGTACATATCTTAAACCAAAACTTTTTTAAAAGCCACTCAGTGATACCTTCTACCTTATAACAGAAAGTCCCTTCGGTGATTAGAATGTAATAAATAATTCTATGTAAGTAATTATTTTGGTGACTACTGCCCCATTTTATGATGTTCTGAATGTGTATCTTCATTCTCACGTGTTTGAAATGATGAAGTAGTTAAAAAATCTGGTATTTTTTTTGGAAAAATACCAACTTTTTGAGCATCAAAGAACATGTTAAAAAAAAAAACATTTACTAATTCAGTGGAGCACATTTTTATTAATTGGAGTCAAGGGTTTTGTTAGTAAGTTTCTAGGCAGAGCAATTAGTTGGTTAGGGCAGGGAGAAAATAATACTGTTTTGTTCATCCAGTTTGACCTATGATGAGGCCTTAATTTGTGACCAGAGCTCTTGGATGTTGTGGTCATGCAAATAAATAAACAAAGTTAGGGATTCATCTCTTCTAATGCCAGTGTATTTGACCTAGTTAAGTTAGGTTCCCTTCTTGAAGGAGAATATAGGCCTGATTCCCCTTCGATATGTTCCTTAAATTGATCAAATTAATTACACCTTAAGAGTGCTTATTTAGGTTCCTTTCTTGTTGGTGGAGAGCCAGGTGACAAGGTCAGATGTCAATGTCCACAAAGATGCTAGTGTTGAGGTGACCAAATCTGAATTATTTATCCCTTTAGACTGTCTAAAAGAATACAGTACCAGCCCCTAAACTTGAATATGCCTTAAAATAAGAGAAACTTGAATTGTGAATTGGGAACAGTTGCTGCACAGTTATTTAATTACAACAAAAAGATGGAAAATTTACAGCCTGATTGATAGTTCAGTACAAATACTCATTGATCCACCAAGATACATACAAAACACAATGCGAGACACGGGTACAAAGCAGAGATACGAGTTGGAGTACCTAGTTTTGAACTCAGATCACCAATAGAATTTATATTGCAGCTTTAAATGTTGTGGTTTTGCTGAAGTAAGTGAAAATGAGCATTCCATGTAATCCAGAAAAAAAGTAACTTTAAGGATTATTAATGTAAGGAAAGAGTTGTACCAAGTTAATGATGTGTTGGTTTCTAATTGATAACAATACTATTTGAATATGAGTTTTAATTGATACCGGTTCTAAATGAATCGATAACGAGCTTTGTTGTCAATTCTCAGTGTGTTTTAGTAGTTCTATTTTTGTCCACATGTACTTCTTGGAGCGATGTTGCTTAATGGCATCAAGATAATGTTGATGCTTGTTATGAATAGCCTGCATTTGTTATTCATTAGCAAAACATGCTAATCACATACTCAGAAGGTGAAGTAATCATTCATTACACTTTTGTATTTTCATTGAATTGAATACTTTTGTGAATGACAGTGCTGAATGTACTTTCCAGTTTTTTCAAAACAAATAAATCTAAGCTCCCCAAGTTTTGTAATTAGGTTCTGCAGAGGGCTGGTTGAGTTACTTGACAGTCCAGCTGTCCTCATCTTTTCACATGAAGTTGAAAGGCAGCTGCACATCACTTTCATATTACTGCTCTAGTGTGACTGGTTACTTAAATTACCATGGAGAGATTGTTCGATTGTCAGTGGTGAGGGGAGTAGTCCATCACATAATCTGAGGATGTGGTCTATGCTCAGAAAGTTTGGGAACGCTAATGATTACTCAGTAATCAGTGAGTAGCCAGTTCATTACAACTCCCTAGGCACTGAATATCAACTCATCATGCCAAGTTACTACACTGTGCTTGAGATTCCAGACATAACTGGCTTGGTTTGAAAGACTCTGAAGCCACATTTAAAAATGACAAGTAACTGATCAACGAGAAAAGGAAGAGAATGTTTTGTTCAAGGGTACAACATCTAGTTATGGTACAACAGTCTAGATTACAATATTCATGTTGAGCCTTATCTCACCATTGCTCTAGCTCTGATTGCTACAGCTGTTCTTGGGAAACTGTGGTGGCCAGAGTAAAGGTTTGAGTATCTGACATACCATGATGCTTGGAAAGAATCCAAACAGTTCTTGCTTGGTTTTGAATGTGACTGTTGTTGGCAGGCTTAACCTTTTGTTGTTAAACTTTCTGTGCTAGCAGGTCATTGTTGTGAATGCATGACTGGCCTAACTCTCGCTTTGTTTTGTCTTAGTCACATCGATCAAACAACAACATGGCAAGATCCTAGGAAGGCCATGCTTTCCCAGATGAATGTTACAGCTCCCACCAGTCCTTCCGTGCAGCAGAACATCATGAATTCGGCATCAGGTAAGCAAAATTTGTATTTATGAAAAAGATCGTACAAATGAAGATACCACTAGCTATTTTAACTGGGGGGAGGGAGTCCAAATCTCACAATTGTCCTTTAAACTTTAACTTCAAATTTTTTGATGCTTGATGCATCAAGCAAGAGGCTGATAAGAGAAAGGTAAGAGAATTTGTGTAATATTTGTGATGTCAACAGAGAATGTCCTGTAGTTCTTTGGTTTGTGTTTTTATTTTTTCAAATGGATGATTCAAACATTTAAAGAAGCAGATTTTTCGTCTAACTTCTTCTGACTGAAAATGCTGTTAAATTGATGAAGACCAGAATTTCCATTAAATTAGTGTCAATTTCCATTAAAGTTATTGTGCTTCTGCAGTGTTCTTCTGCCTACCCTTGCTCACTTACTAGACTTGGTAAACTCCTATTCATTTACATTTCCTACATTTGTTATGAACATCTCATTTTTTCTGTCTTCCCTAAATGAATAAAGCAAACACTTGGAAAACCTTGTTTAGAAGCAGAGATGTTTTGGTTTTCCTCTTATTTTTCTATCATTTCCAAAATCCTGTATGATGATGATGATTATTCCTCTAGCTGAGGAAGTCTGATACCTTTTCCTGGAATAGAGAACTGTTTTTCAGCTAGTTTGAGGGGGAGCATCACTAGACAGCAGTAAAGTCTGCTTGTTCTTGCTATAGAATCTGCTGTATGTTTTCAGAGCTCTCTTGTCCTGATGGGGCAAAGAGCAAGCAGATAAATTTGGTGCCATGCTAGTTTGACTGCTGCACTCTTCCCTATGCTTCGTCACCTTCTGTTTGTCACTGAAGTTCATGTTTTGCTTCTTTTCTCACCGTCTGATTGTATTTTGTGTATGTCTGCTGTTCCCGTATTTCACAGAAGTTATTCTCTGGTGCTGCTTTTTGTTGTCCATTTAGACAGCTTTGTTTCATGCTGCAACTCATATGCTGCAGACAATACCAAAAGATTAATAGGCATGACCAAACTGTGCTGTTCGTGACTGAGTATTGGAGGGGAAGCTAATCAAACTTTTTGCTGGCTAAGCCAGGAGGTTGGATTATCCTGAAACAAATGAGAGTCCTGTTCAAGTTCAGGAAGTCATGATTCAGAGCAATTAAGGTCTCAGGCCCTGATGTGAAAATATAGTATCTGTGATTATTTTTTCTGTAAATATATTCCAGGACACTTGCAGCAATAGAGGTGACATCTTTTTGCAGGGACACTTCTGAAGAACAGGGAATAGGAGAAAGGAAACAATTCCCTTGGTCTGTCTTGCCTGTTGGAGTATCTGATTTGTGCTAAAACTAGATGCTTGCTCTTTGAATATTGGCATAAATTCTGTGTTTTAAGGTAACTCCTCAAACCTTCTGTTATACCAAGAATTAACAGGAGAGAATACTGCTAGTGAAGTAGGATTCATGTTATGTACTTAGAAAGAAATGAAGGGTCCTTAGCAAAAAAATAAATTGGTTAGTTGTAAGGGGTAAAAATCTAAAAGAGAATCTAGCAGTCAGTACATGAGGATTATTTTAAAAAGAAACGTAAGAATTTACATGTAATTTACTGATGTAAGTGTGTGAGCAAGTGATCCTACATAGATCTTGTTGCTCATGCAATAAAGAAGAGTTGAGACGTTTAAGTGGGTTGTCTTGTGACTTGAGAAAGCACTAATTAGAATACAAGTTAATTGAACGTTTATTTTTAATTTCGCAGATGATACTGTATTAAATATGAACTGAAAATCTTGTAAAGTTTTTTCCCCAGTGCTCTGAATTTGATAACGTGCATGAAGAAATAAGAACTTCTGTGTATATTAAGTTATGTGTTTATGTGGCATTGCTTTTTTTAAGCTTAAATCAGTTGAGGTAGTATGACCTGGAACTGGCTCTTTGGATGCACCTGCTTACTTTCAACTTACTTGCATTTAACAAAAGTCTGTTTTGAATTAAATAATACCGAACCTGCATTTATTGTATATAATTCTGTTTCTGATACCTGATTTGGCAAATCTTTATCTACTAACTTTAAATTATGACTGTATATTTATTTTTACTGAAGTTTCTTATATCTGGTTCTGTTAGTTTTTATTGCTGAGTTCATGGTAACTTATGCTTCCTTGGTGGCCTCATAAAGAATGAGAGAAATGGAAAAATCAAGTAACTATGTACCACTTCAGCCCAGTGGAACTTAAATCTGAGTGCTAACGTCATAAATATAAGACTACTTAATGTTCTAATTTGGATATTCATCCTCAAGAACTGGGAAATAAAGTTGAGACCTTTAAGACAGAGGTTTCCTGTTATGAAATATTGCTGGCAATGAAACATGCCCTTGTGCTTTGAGAGCCTTTCATGAAAGATATTGGGAAAAACCAAGCGCAAGTATTGTGACAGCTGGAGGTCACTGACTTGCAAAAAAATGTTGGAAATGCCACAAGGGAAAATGTTTTCCTTTCTGTATGGTTCATCCTTGTATAGCGCTCAGTAACTGTAGCCCTTAATCAGAAGTTACTGTCCAAGTTTTAGAATATTTAATTACAGACTGTCCTAGGAGCTTGTAAGTAAAGTTGCTGTGGTAAAACGTAAGAGAGAAGATTTTTAGGAGCTGTCTTAAAAGCTATTGGAAGCTTCCATTAGCTAGAATTAAGAACAGGAAAACAAACTGAAGAGGGAGAGAGGACAGAAAGCTGCTGTCTGTGTATTGAAGACAAACCTGTTGCCTTCTCTGGATAAACAGGATAAGTGGAGTTCAGGGCAAATGGGAAGAAAGCAAAACTAGAAGGTGTGGTAGGGTGAAGGCAAGTCAAAAGTGTGTTTAAAATCAAAACTGGCGTAGGGAAGATGTAGTTTAGCATGAGGTTGAGATTTTTAGGTTGTTTTTCTTAAGAAATCCCACCTCTTGAGGCAGATAAGACTGGATGAGAATCCAGGTATCTTGCTGCAAATTATGTTTCTTTAAGGAAACTGATAGGCATCTGAACCAGCTTCATCTGTTCTTGGCATGATTTTGTGAATGAACTATTTAATGAGTGTTAGTAAGCATACATCCTTTGCAGGAGGGCATCAGTATGTGAAAAGTGAGGATTCCTCCCCCCCTCCCCCCGGCTTATTTTGGTGCTTGGATATTTTTTTTTGTCTCAGTTTTGCTGAACTTAGCTTGCTACATGTAATCAGCTAAAATGGTTTGGGCCGTACGTACGCAGAGAAACAGTGCTCTTCTAGATGGCATTTGTTGGTTAATCTTCTGTGAAACAGGATCGCATCTTCACATCAGTAATGGAAAGAAAACAAGCCTATTACTTCTACATATGCAATGTGTATATAAAAATTAGTCTTGACTGTTGTGATTTTTGTGTGTGTTTCTAACCATATTTTTCCCTAAAGATATTACAGGAAAAATTGTTCTGTCTTGATTTGAAAAAAAGAAAAAAAAAAAAAAAAAAAAAAAAAGAGGAATAATGGTACATTGTTCTTCTGAGGAACCTGTCCTATACATTTCTTACTGAGGTAAATTTATAAATTTGAAAGTAAACAATGCCTGTTTCTTATACAATTACAGGTGATATAACAGAGATGGGGTAGTAATTGTATTTATACACTTCCATTCTTCAGATACTTTTACTTCCTGAATCATGCTTGATAGCACTGCTTACTTTAGCCTCTTCTGCTTGCGCATAGACATTAGATAATCAGCTTTGGAGCAGATTACCTGTCTTTGTCCTCTCTTGTCTTCCCTCTTACATTGCAGTTTTGAATTGAGCTTCCCGGTGAAAGTTTGTAGACCTAGTGTAATTCCGTTGCCTCTTAGGGGAAGGCTGTAGTGCCCTGTTAAAGGTTGGTAGGAAAACGGGTACTCTAATTCATAACTCTTGAGGTTTTTTTCCCCCTTGGGGAGCGGGAGGGTAAGGAAGAATATGCCAATAACTAAAACAAGTTCTAGCTCTTCTCTTAGATTCTTGCCCACTTCAGTTGCAGATTTCTATGTAACCAGTCACCGTACAAATTCTGCTTTGTGTACAGTCAACACCACATATGATCTGTTGCGAAACTCGAGTTTCTACGTATCTGCATGACAGTAATATTAATTTTTTTCATCATCTGAAAAAAATGCCCCTTTTCTAATAGTGTTTTTTGGTAAGTTTTACTGATTTGACAGAATAAAGGTGGCCTTTAGGTAAATTTTGTAGATTTTGATATAATTTTAAAAAGTGTTGGAATCACAGTGACAGTGATTGAAGGGAAAAATTTCAGCTTTCACAGAGGAAAAATAGGAAGGTTCTTAGAGATTAGTGTTTGTATTAGGTGGGTGTGATTCCTACTGTTGAACAGAGGTGTTCCCGTCCCTAGATTGTCCTGCTGTTGAACAGAGGTGTTCCCGTTCCTAGGTTGTCCATGCATATTCTTTTAATATCTAGATACAGATGACCTCTAGTATGCATTAACCTGGTGATAAAATACAGCTTTATTCACATTTATTTTACAATTATATATCAGAAACTGTAGGGGCTTGCAAGGTTTACTTTGTATCCCAGCATAGCTTGAATGTATACTACATTTTTGCTTTTGTTACTCTTCCTGTTGCTTTCTGTCTGCCAGCAGTGAGCTCTGCTTTGCGTTCAAAACTCTGCATTTCATGGCAAAAGTGGTATATCAAGAAAATAAAAACTCACAAAGAATGGAGACATGCACCAGACATGCACACAGACTTTTAAAATTACATGTATTTATGTTAAGTTATGGCATTATATAAATATTTAGTTACAGAGGTATGCCTTATCAGTAGTTCTGTAAGGATGGCTTACATTTGGAAATTGGAATCTAATTTTTGGATAAACCTGTCTTTAGAAGTACCACAGTAAATGGTGAGTTCCCTAGAAGGGTTGTCTCTCCCTGTGCAAATAATTTCATAGAATTGTAAGCTTATGGTTGTGATTGTATTCAATTGACCTAGGAGGCATCGAACAGAACTAGTAGGAGACCATGCCACAGGGATATTGTTAGCGCTAAATGTTTACAAAGGTTCAAGGAGAGACTAGAAAAGTACTCAAAAGAGAGATATCCTTTGGCACCTACTAAGAGACAGAATCTGGCTCAAGAAATCACCTGAGGTAGTTGGAGGCCAGGTGGCTATTGGTAGCCACTATACTTTTTGGGTCTATATGTGTATTCAGTGCTTTATTTAGAAGTTTATAGAGTCTGACAGTGACTAAACAGGCTGCTTTCAGCAATAAGATCTGTCCATCACCCTAGGCTAGGTGCCTGAGCTTAAATGGACTTTTGGTTAGACCCAGCATGGCTGGCTTTGTACAACACAGGCTACAGTAACCTTGGAAATTTTAGTGAGAAGGTCTGAAGAGCAGCAATATAGAGCTTAGGTAACTTGCCACTTAAAAACATAAGCTAATGCTGGGAATCCTGTTCCTGTTGAGCCTTTTGGGGGAAAAGGGACATGTAATTGCACAGGAATTTTCCTAGATGCTGTGAGTAAATGTGTCTGCTATTCTTTACCATGGTTTTCCATTTTTCCTGTTACTTGCCTCTAATACAGAGTTTGTCAAAGAGCCAGTTACAAAATCAGACTTGACAGTTTTCTGGTTTCACAACTGCTCACAAAAGCAAATAGGAATTACAGAAAGCAGTACTAATCAATTTTTGAGCTACCATTTCAACATGTAGGGATGACAGCAGAAACATGAGAGCAGTTTACTGGCCAAGGAAGAAAGCAACATCATGATTAATGCCAAAAGTTTCTAGAGAGAAAAGTTCTGTTTCTGCAGCCGTAGATGGCACTTAGCAAGGAAGACTTGCTACTGTGACAGCCAGGTGAGCAGACAGACCTTCCCTGTCCTGTCCACAGCTGTGCATTTTATTTAGAAAGAGAACCTTGCCCAGGTTTGTCTCTAGTAAGCTAGTACTCAGATCACTGCATCTCATAAGCAGTATTCTTCCACCAGGTAGGTGGACTGATGAGCTCCTGGCATCCTGCTTCAAAGGCATTTTGTTCTTATTTACTACAAAGGAACATGCTGGACCAGTATACACTTTACTCAATGTTCAGCAG